TTTTCACTTGGGCGAAATAAATTGCTTAAGTAGTAACTTTTGCGCGCAGTCTTCCTGTCAAAATATTTCTTCAAACAATGCTTTTTCGATGTATTTTTCTCACGTGACCAGAAAGTGCAATAAAGCCTCCAGTTTGCACTTAGTTTGCTCAGTATTTATAATTTTACGTGTTCTGTCTTTTTTCAACAGTAAATTAAATATGTTGTGGTTTAATTTTATCGTTGGTATATATAAAGCCGGTTTTATTTTGCTTTGTTTTTTTGATATGATGATCGGTAAGATGATATAAAATAATGAGTTTGAAACGAAGGAAGCGTAAATTTTTTTTCACAAAGGATAAAAATGAACCCTACGGTGAGTGCTTTAGGCTTTTGAATATGGCAATTCGTTCTATTAAAACTTCTATTCATACAAAAACATTCACGAAATATTCAAACGAAAACAATGAACGTAGGTATGAAAAATATGCTGGCACCTAGCTGTAAAAAGTCGATAGAATTTAAAAGCAGGCAAGCGAGAAAGCTGTTCATGCAATGAAGTAGAATTCCTCCGCATCTAGTTTTGAGAAAGACAACTCCGTAGCGTGGCTGAAACAGTCATTTGTCAGTTTTTTGTCAGCATGTCTTAATACACTTTTCAACAGTGTAATATATATATATCTATCAATCATGCAAGCTTTACTTTGAGACGCTCTGCTCGATTCTGATTATGAATTAAAGCATTAATGAACTTTTTTTGTAAATCTATCACTGTGTTACGGAAGGAAAATAAGATATGTCAGCAGGCAAAGAGAATTAAAAGTTTTCATTGTGTTGCCGGCTTTCTACAGATCTTTTTACTTGGTTTTGCTATTCTCAAATTACATGCTGCAATCACATGACAGCTTATAATTACAGAATATGTGAAGGTTTCTGAATTTATGTCGCTGTTAATTCGGTACCTGCTAATAATGTGTACGATCTTTTCTCTAAAGGAGTCCAATTCTTCTCGAATGCAGTCCACTGCCTTTGTAGATGACTGGAGCACCCTGTACAAACAGCAACACGGCCACCCGAAAACAGGCTAGCATTTCCGCCATGTTTCAGCGTCTCCAACACTGGAAAGAATGGTCCATGCGTGCGTTTTTGGTAATATAATCGTCTTATCGGGCCTGGCGTTGGATCATTGCATGCTACGCAGACCGATATATGGCGTTCTGACATTTTTAAGACTTCAAGCCATTAATCGCAATTTACCAAACTAGACTTGGACTTAGCAATCAGCCTTCGTTCCGCCGAAAGAGAACACAGCTCTCTTTCCAAAATAAAAGTTAAAACGAACGAAAAAAATTGAAATTATTTTCTGTTCCCACAACAACGTTGCAAACAGCAGTTTTGTGAATGCGTACCTGCCGCGGCGACTTCTGTTAAATTATTTATTGGCCACAAAAGTGACTATATCAGGTAGCTAACTTATAGTATCAATTAAAGTTGTCGGCATGACAACGACTGTTATAAGACCAATAATGTGGAAATAGTTGGAACACCTGCTTTGAGTCACAAATTATTCTGCACGGCCGTCAAAACATAGAAATTCATCCGCTTTTTTCGAGAAATGTTTTTTTTTCACTCAACGGATCCGTAAAGATCGTTAAGGTTAAAACTGAATATCATCACTCCAACAAAAACTGCACTGGATTTACATCAAATTTGGTCGGGGCAAATTTGATGCAAAAAAAGTGAAAACTGAGAGGAATTAAATAAAAAGCAAAGATAGTAAATACCGTATTTGAGCCCTAGCCTAACCGTATTTACACCCTCATGTAATTAATCAGGGTTGCAAACACGGTATAAACAAACTTTGCTAATACCTTCCTTCTAGTGCGTATTTTTAAACATCATCTTGTTCGGACCAAATTTGTTGTAATAAATTAAAGCAACTTCCAAAGTGACAATTAAGTTTTGAAAATTTACATGTAGAAACTGTTTAAAGGGGTCTTATTCAATCTATATGTCTGAGGCCCTACTCATTCGGGCACCCACACAATAATAACACTTTGTCATCGCTCCCTTTAGCGTCCTTAAAGCTGTTCCCTTTTAGTGCACGGTTTCCTCCTTAGCATGGCTTCAGAGAGAGGTCTGTTCTCAGAATTTCCCTGCCGGGTTAACAAAAATTAGCTGAGAGCTCGACCTGTCACCCCGGGCCACTTTAGCATGTTGTGTGCGCCATTCTCACAGATCAATCTTTGTAAATAGTAACGTATACGTTTTAACCCTGATACTTTTTTAATACTAAGTTATGGTTTTGAAAAACTCAATAAGTGCGATAGACGTAGGCCGCTAGCTTTTTGATATTTTCCTTGGTGGGTTTTTCCTTAAAGACTGTTTCCAAATGGCAAAAATTGCGTGCATAACTGAAATTATAATAATCAGCCTCTTTAATTCGTGCCTGGGATGACGATGAATTCACCTATATATATAACTGGTCCCATAGCATAGTCAAACAATTTGAGATTCATCAAGACAGTTCGAATTCCTTTTTTGCGCTGGCAGTGTAGCTTAAAAGTTCGGACAAATTAAGTCTCATTCGTTAAAGGAAGAAGTTTATAATCGTCCTTTTTCGAATAAACCATTTCTGATCAATAAAATACAGTTTTTTTGTTTTGGTCGGCAAAAGGACTAGCCGCCAAGAATTCCTGGTTAAGTTGGTCAGTATTGAGCTGATATTGAACTCAGCAGTGATAAAATGAGACTTTTACAGCCTTGTCCCCTGTGGCGACATTTCGCTTCCCCTCGAAATGACGTCAGAGGAAGGATCAGCATAGAAATTCCATATACTGATGATGTGACATTACCGTTTTTGCGGAGAAACCAGTGGTGACGTCGCTAAATGTCGGCTGTTTTCTGAGGCTACTTCGTCCCCATCCTGATAAATAATAAATAAAGAAATAAAATTAATGTTAGCTACACGAGCTTAAACAAAGTAAAGGATTCTGTACAGGAAATGACTATATTTATATGGAAAGAGTAATTTCCTTTTGTCACTTGTCTTTTGAAATGCACATTTTGCTTTGACTAGGCACATCAACAAGGTGAACTTATAGAAAAAATACAGGTTCAAATCAAATGAACAACTTCATTTAACTATGCTGGCCACACACATCAAAAGACGATTAAGTCCAGGTGGGGTGTAAGCAAACACACATTACAAAAAATAGAAGCAATATGGTGTTTTCATACTATCGAATTACAAAATGTTACAAAATTTTAGAAAATAATTAACGACGTAAAAATGTACACAGTATAGCTAGCTTTAAGTAGCCAGCATCGAAAGAGGTAGGAGATAGGAAGGAGGTAAAGAAGGATATATGACAAGCACACAGAGTAGCTAAAATAATAAACAGTCCTGGATTCAATGGTCTTCCACTTACATACACACAAATACAAATCGATTCGTGAATTACAAAAAATGAATGGAATGTAAAAATAACCATCAATTCAAAACAACAATTCTGCAAACAAAGGCTTGAATTTTATTGGGAATACAATGCCATATTTGCAGGGAATTCCTGTTGCAGGAGGTATTAAGAAATTATGCAAAAGGAAAGGGCAAAATGACTAAATTAAGCTGCATTTTCCTTTCTCCACCGCTAAATTGGGTGTTAATAATTAAGTCATATTATTACCAAGCTGTCAGTGTACATGATCAAAATTTTATTTATATTATTATGTCCATATAAAATGCAAGTTTCAGTGATAGAAACTTTGCTCTCTGCTTCGCAGAGGCTGCACGTGCGCATTTTAATAAAAATAGTAATAATAAAAGAAAATAGCAAGCACAGGTGGACGATAAGAATAAGAAAAAGGCAGGAACCTCTCTTCTTCTTCTCTTTCCCCTTCCCATTATCCTCCATGCACCTTCCTTTTGCACTCTCCCCAGCCTCCCTCCAACATAACGAGGCCTGTGCGGAGGCAGGGGCGGATCCAGGATTTTTTTTAGGAGGGAGTGCACTCATCTCTTGCTCTGCTTCAACACCAATAAACCACATAGCTTTTTTTTTTTTTGCAGAATACCAGTTGTATTAGAAAACCACAGGTCATCTCGGGGGAGGGGGGGGGG